AAATACAGACATGACCCCAATAACTCAGCCATCACGAACAGCACAATGTCTCATAAGTCACATACACACGTCAACCACTACAATCCGTGCTAAATCGTTATTCACACTCGCAATATTGTTGTTGTAATTCACATGGACTGTTCACAAAGCGTTGCAGTATATCATGTTTAATGTGGTTTGGGCTTTGCCAATTGCATCTAGACTCACAAATCATGTCCGACATGCACACATCACTTAAAAAGAAGCCCTGAAAAAACGAACATGGAAACATAAATCTTGACGATCACACTGACTCAGAGAAGATCAGAGAACATCAGAGTGGGAAAGCAGCCCCGTTGTATCTCAACACTAACTGTGATATAAAAGTACCTTGTATGTGTGAAAATGTGTGCTGTGCTTATTCAATCTGTGATGTTTGTGGTCAGGTGTTGCATGCAGAAAGGTGGTCAGTCTTCGTTTCTTGCGTGTGAAAAATTTTCTTATGCAGCTGTTTAGAGCAGAGGTTGGTCTTCTCCAAAATCAGACAACGCCAAAACACCTCATGAAATAAAACCTTCAGAGGAAATAAACAGATGATTTCATAAAGCAAGTGTACAAAGAGTGAAGCTTCCTCTTTTAGACGGTCATCTTGCTAAATTGATCACAAAAGGCAAAAAACATGACAGCAATTGTAATACAGTGTATGTTTGCTTTGTGGTGATAATCAAAGCAATATGTTGTCCACAGAAGATCAGTGGAACTGTTTCCAGCTGGGAAATTATTCATTGGCTGTGAGGTGAGGAGGTCCGGTGACCGCATGCCGCACAGAAAAGTCAAACAAACTTTTGAAAAAGCCAAATATTATGCTTTTAATGGTTTAGAAAATAAATACAAAAAAGAAATTAATCCCCATAAATCTCATAAAAAAAAACCATTTTGCTATTGTATTTCAGTCACACAACTCTTCTCTAGTAGTCACATTTTTTGTTACCTTACCTTCATGTGGGTGGAAAAGGCTATTATATCGTACAGTACAGTTTCACCTAGGTTGATTTTGACCAGACTTTCAGACATTTAGGTCGACATCTGTCCATCTTTGGTTTTAGAGGGATTTATAACACTTGTTGGAAAGATTTTATTGCACTTAACGTAACGAGCTGTCAACCTGTCTCTCCTCTGCTCTGCTTCATGTGTGTGGGGAGAGGCAAAGACACACACAAGGTGAAACATAAAGCAGAGGAGAGAAACACGACTGTAAATGACAGCAAAATGTAGTAGAGATAAATAAATATTTTTATTTTTTTCCCAGCTGCATCTACTAACTTTTTCCACCTTATGACAATACTTAAAGCCCAAAGAAACTTTTCATTTCTAATCTCACAATATGCTTGTTTACATTCTGTATGCTATGCTTGAACAATAATTGTCATGTTTATGATTTAATGCTTTTTTTTCCTATTATGTTAGTTTGCTAGTTAACAAGTTTGTTTTATGTTCCTACCCTAACATGCCTAACTAGCACGTACTATGCACTTTCAGTGCACTTTATTTTGATCTACTTGCACTTATTAAATAGATATACTTAGTACTCACATCAGGGTTTCCTACTGCACTGGAGCTTTAGTGATGAAATGTTTTAGTCAACAGAATTTGTTGCACTGTATATCCTCATATTGTTCTCACATATTTAAAGTTGTTTGTGCACTTAGTCTTACCAACTTTTAAGGGTATTCAAGTTTAACAGTCATACCCTGCTAATGTGTGCCTAATAAAGACTGTGTGGGTGTGGTTTGACAAGATTTGACAGTGGCCTGGCAACAAAAGCAAAGAAATCCATGACTGTAATCACATTTTGATTGAAATAATGCTAAATCCTGATTGATGTGCAGAAGTACTCGATATCACCTTTTTCCAACCCAGACCCACTACTTCGTGAAAAGAGCACTGACAAAACAGCACAGACCAAATGCTTATGTGAAACAACCAAAACTGTTTAAAAAATCTTGTATGCTCACATTAGACACTTTTGCACATAGGAAGCTGATTGAGAAAATATGTTTTCAGGGGCTTTAATGTTTTAAGTTATAACTGAATCCTGGCTTCTAGAATTAGAAAAGGGCATTCTTTCAACTTTTAGACCAGCTCTACCCTTATCAAGACTAATATAACCACAATGTCCTCTTTACTTCAGCATAAGTCAATTAAAAAAATATGGGAGTTAAGGAGGAGGAAAAAACACCTGCTAAACAAGTATGTGATCATTTCACTGAGGTCCTGTGTGGGAATGTGTGTCCATGTGAGTATGTGTGAGTCTGATGCCCCTTGGGAGCTCCAAAACAGGGCTAATGAAGCTAGACAGGTCAGTAAATCTTAACTGCAGAATGATTACTGAGCTCAGTTTAGGAAACACCCCCACTGGAGCATCCAGCAGATCAACCTCTAAAAACTGCAAAGAGCCAGGACCTACATTAGTGATAGGGCTGAGTGAAATGTCAAACATGTTTCAGTCACTTTTGTGTAGTAGATGTCTATACTGTCTGCATAATGACTTACACCTCACTATGTGTTATGTATGTAATTCACCCAAAGAGACTTTTAAAGACTTTTCCCTCTAACATATGTAAGATATGTCAAACGCCTCTCTGCAGAGTACCATGGATTAGAGCTAAAACAATAATAACAAACAAGTTGTCAAGTGACTGAAAATGAGTCAGCAACAATTTTTGATAAGTCAAACATTCACTGGTTACAGCTTTTCAGATGTAAATATTTGTTTGCTTTCTTGGTCTTCTAGGTGAGAAAACTGAATATTTGGATTGGCCTGTTGGTCTGACAAAACATAATCATTAATCCTAAATAAACATAATCATTAGTATTCATTCAATCATTAATCAATAATGAAAGTAATTTTAAATCTTAATCCTACTATGGGTGGCCCGGTGCAGATAGTGACTAACTTCAAAGCTAGGACTGGACGATGTACAAAAAAATCATATTGCAATTATTTTGGCGATTGCAATATGAGTCGCGATTTCAGTTGGAATGGTCATTTTTGCATTTTATTTTCACTGAGAAAAATATAAAAATTATCATGATGTGATTTTTGTGGGGTCTTATACCAAACAAGCATGTTCCTTTACATCTAGAAAATATGATTTGTATGACTGGGGCGTCTCTGTAGCACCACAATGCTTCACTTATGTTGTGACACATTTTACCTTTTTCCAAAAAATTTTAGCTCCTGCAATTTGGATTTGCGCTTGGCCATGTTACGATTTCGATAATATTTCGATTAATTGTGTAGCCCTGCTTGCATGCATGCATATGTGTTGGCACACTGTGTGCAGCAGTCTCTATTGTTTTCCGTTTTTTGCTGTGATATCGACTTTGGTATTGAAAATCATCGAATTTCAACGGTATTGGTACAGATTATCAAAATTCTGGTATTGTGATATCCCTACTCACATTTACCCATAGTGTGTTGATTTATTTTGTGATGTATAATATGCTTTGGCTATAACTCAGACGGACATTTGCCTGAAATGAAATGAAAATGAAACCTCTGACGAATTAACTGGTCTCAGTATTATCCTATTCCATTCTTTTAATACTTTGCAGTAACTGCTCAAAGAAATGTGTCTACACTTTGAAATCAGCAGGTCCAGTATAATTGCAACATCATCAAAAAAGTAGCATCTTCTTTGTTTCTAGCATAACAAGTATGAGGAATGACATCTAACCAAAGCACAAATTCCAGATGAATCTGCCTCTCCTGTTGTCACATACTGTAGCATTTTTTTAAGGGGATTTTGTTTGAAGTACTGTTGATAGTATTGTTTGCTGGGCCTCATCAGTGCATTTAGCACTACTGTCTCTTTCATCATAAGCCTATTTGTTGATATTACAAATTATAAATTAGTATTAAGAACAGCAAGCTCACTCTGTTAAGAGTTAGGCTACTCAAGGACAAATTTAATGCAGACATTTCAGAAAAAGCCAGCTGTCTTTGTAATATAGAGCCCAGTGAAAGGACACACCAGCACATGAATCTGCCTTTTTCTGCTCCTTACAGAGCATTCAACAGCTTACTGCACCAAACTGAACCCCTGCAGCCTGCTTTCCTCTTGGACCAGAGCCCATGGGTAGGCAAGCACATATACTGTATACAAGAGTGTGCACACACGCACACTAACACGCACACACGAACACACACGTGTACAAGCACACACAGGCATGCAGAGATACTGGCACACAACAATCAGCCTCGGCATGAACACCCACTCACAAACACACATTTTAATGACACGGTAACACATTCGGCCAGGCACAGATGACAGTCACAACCTCTCAGCAACACACATCACAGCATTGGGGAACAGTTAAGCCTTGGTTCTGGGTGTTGCTGGCTGTTGCAACTGCAACAGATGGAACTGCAGCAGCAGCAGCAGTGGGGCAGGTAAGGTGAAAAGGAATCGAACCTCCTGCGTGAATGCGCATGTGTGTGGATGTGTATTTTTGCGTGAGTCTGCACCTATGTCTTTTACCCTGGCTATTTTAAGGCGGTTCTTTATAAATCCTACAGCATGTCCAAGTCTCTGGGAAGAATTCAAAAGGACAGGGCATGCATAAAACATGACAGACATCCAGACAGAGGAGAGTAATGGAGTAGAGACAGAAGAGAGAAAGAGCAAAATACATGCCAGTATAATAAGGTATGCAAAGACAGTTTTCAATGCAGCAGTAGCCCTATCAACTGTCCTGAAAGCTCTGAGACAGTCATGGATATCTGGAGAGGTAGATATGCTACCTCGCTAGCATATTGTGTGACAATGTTAAATGCTGCTGCATACAGATAGTACGGCATTTGCTCCCCTGTAAGAAAACACAAGCAAGATCATCCCGACTCTCATTGACAGAGCAAAGTGAGAAGAGAGGCAGGAAGAGAGAGGGGTGAGAGAGAGAGAGAAAGAGAGAGAGAGATGGAGCATCAGACCTAGCGATGATGCTCTTGAAACACCCACCTCAGTCTGCTGCTGATTCCTGACGCAGTGAGTAGAACCAGGGAATAAATGCAGAATACAGTAGCTATGATGGAGGAGCAGGAGCCAAAATCCAAGCATGAAAACAGGAGAGGAGAAAGATACAAGACTAGTGAATGTGAGATCCTGTGTGACCAAGATTATGTGTCTGAGTGAGATGAGCATGTATGTCTGACATGAGAAAGACAAAAATACAGAAAGACAAAAAAAAAAGTGACACAAGACAGAGTGAACAGGAATGGGAACACGAGGTAAGAAAGAAAGAGACGGAGAGAAGAGACTGAATAGATGTGTGAGCTTGGAGAGTCACTGAGCAGAGCAGATGCATTAAAAGGAAATGCCCCTCCCTCTTTCCTCTACACACACACACACGCACACACACGCACGCACACAGTTCCCTTTGCACTGTCAGCATGCGAGTAAGCATGCATTCAGTGAATCAGAGAGAGCTGTAAATGGTAAAAGAGAAGAAGTGTTGGCCAGAGGAAAGCAAGCAAGAAGCATGTGTGTTCATTTTAAAATCAATGACATGACAGTCCTTCCTTGTACTAGGAAATCCATGGTTTCCACTGAAAGTGGCTTAAACTTATTGGCTGCATAGCAAGTGAACAGAGGTCAGAAAGCTAGCTATGGCTAAGAGACATTACACGGCGTTACCAAGCTCTATGCAAACACTGAAGAAAACCCCCTGTAAATCCTATATCCTTTTATGGCAGAATGAAACATACATACACAGTTCGGCATCAATCTTGCAAAAAAAGATATATAAATAAATAAATACATAAAAAAAAAAAATAAAAAAAAAAAAACTTCCAGTAAGTAGCACCCTGTATGCAGCAGCGTCTTCCTCTCAGGCCCAGGTCTGTTCTCAGCTATGCACTCTCAACCTTCATGCAGGGGGCGGTCAAGTGAGAGGATTACTTCACTACAACAATCAATAATTTGTTACATAATATGTACTACTGTACATCAAATGCAATGCACCCTTGTATACATAAGCTGCCTATTTTACTCTGAATATACTTTGAATGGGAAAGTGCAAGATTTAAGATACTAATCATACCACCTGCTAACAAACTCCTATGGTTCCACGAATCTGCAAGTAATGCTAGCATGAATCAATGTGCTATAAGCCCGCTGCTCTCAAAAAGCAGGGATGGAAATTTCACTTAATGCTATTGATATTTAACCAACATTTATGAAACCGCCTACCTGACTATACTATGGTGATTAGATAAAGAGTGAGAGCAGGAGACTAGGGCTGGGACGATTATCCGACGTAATCGACGTCGTCGATTATAAAAATTATTCGACGTGGAATTTTAGTGCCGACGCGTCGTGTAAAACCACACAGGGTGAATGTTCATAGAACAAAACCAGAACTTTCTAATGGGACCGTTTATATGCATCATCTTTGGTTTACCAGCGCAGCGCAAGGGCTGGGACAATGCGGTGATGTAATTGAAGTCATTGACTACGTGAATGATTTGTGTCTGTGTAATCTATTTGAACAACATGGCAACGTCTACCAGCAGTATGACGGAGCGTGTGGAGCAACACGCGGCAAAAAAGGCTCGCACACGGTCCTCCAAAGTTTGGGAATACTTTAATCTTGACACCAGCAGTGCAGTAGTCTGCAGACTCTGCAAAGTGCATCTGGCATATCACTCTAGCACGACAGTCATGCACGAGCACATAAAGAGGAAACACCCTGGTGCAGCGAGGCAAATTGTTATATTAAATGACTAACTGGAAAATAATTGCAATAAAATTACTGTTAGGTTAATAAAAAAATAATCGTTAGATTAGTCGAATAATCGAAAAAATAATCGCTAGATTAATCATTTAAAGAATAATCATTTGGGACAGCCCTACAGGAGACAGACTGAGACAGAATGAGTGGGGCAGCCAAAGCTGACTGCTGATAGTAGGAACACTAGGGACTACATTGGTTGCTAGTAACCATTGATGACGAGAAATACAGAGAATTTCAAATTTGTTCGAATTGGTTTTTCAGTACAGATTGCTCTGGGCATCAGGTAACTGAACAGGTGGCCAAGCAGGTAGTTGGGCTCAGAGATGACGCCTTTTAAGTGGAACACATCCCAAGTCCCATCATGCATTTCTGTCTAGCCTCGGCCAAGAAACATTTATCAGTATGGTATCAGTGTATAGATGAGGTTAGTGCACAGGCGAGAGAATTGAAAGGTGCAGCACAGTTTTTCACGACATTAAGAGCACAGCCAGTCTGAATTTATGTAATTGTACACAGCTAGCCAAGTAAATGGTAATCTAATCATGTGTGGCGTTGTATGCAGTTCTGAAACTGGTTGTTTATTAACTTTTTCAGCAAATCTGAGAAGAATACATAAATTATGGTAATGAAAAATGACAGTTTTTGCATTTTATAACTTGTCTCTGATTTCTAAGCATTTCCACTTCCAAGAAATAATATTCTTAGATGTGCTCTACCTCTGTCGTTATCGTTTGCTGTCAGTTTAGTGTTAAGATCAGTTTCCTTTAGATTTGTGTTAATGGATTTACCTCACCCTGCATGTGTATGTGTTTCTGTGTATGTGTGTATGTTTCCCAGAGCCTGAAGGGACAGCTAAAGCTTCACTGTTGCGCACCACTGTCCCTGGCCTTTCTTTCTAAGCTCAAGCCGAGTCACGGCATCTCCAGCTTCTGCTTCCAGTCAGACAACAGCTCTGCAGCTCACTCCTCTCCAGTCATGATGACACCAAGCATGGTGCGGTGTCTGCCAGACTAATGGGGCCACAGCAAGAGATCTTCACCCACACCCAAACAGTAACTACAACCTGTGAAGAGTTTCTGAGAGTTGACAGCACAAAAACTCCATTCAGTCCTCCAAAATAATAATACAAAAGCATTTAGTGATGCATTTCACAAAATGGATTAAAATGTGTGATTTTGCGAGTGGGAGCCAACATAGACAAAAAAAAAGGCTGCTACAAAATCCACTGTCCATGGACTCCCATAAATACACTCTCAAACATGGTCTTCCAAAATTTCCTACCTGCGACTCCACATTCATACTGAATGATGTGAGGGTTGGCTCTGTACTGTGTATGCCTAGTGCGGTAAGCCTGTAGTCTGCATGTGATGCTCTGGAGCTTTGCCAGATAGCTGCATAAGGGAAGGGTGCTGCTCCTGTGATCATGCCAGGTGCTTGAGTGTTTGTCATCCTCAATACCAGCTGCTGGGCAGTTCAAGAAACAATCGGTCCATTAATGTTAACCCATATCTTCCTGCTGCTATTGCAAGGTATTGGTTGAGGCCCCAAAAACTGTCTGCAAGAAAACCAAAATCTCAATTCACAACAATGTACGACAACATCCATACTTCCTTTTTTTACACTTAACTATGCCTGGTCAAGGTCATTCGGTGAATTAAAGCATTTTTTAATGGACTGCTATCAGCTATACCCATTACAGTTACTTTCAAAATTGTAACCCACTGTGCTCCAGGTACACCAGCTGTACTAACAGAAGCCAGCAGTTCAATTAATGATATCCACACTGACTGGAAGCATCAGAGTGCCTCAGCAAACAGACCGATCCTTCTTAGATTAAACTGTCTTTCTTTGCCTCTGGCCCTAGGCCTGCCATTAACATGTGTCTTCAGTGATCCAATCACAAGTACATCAGTTCACACCTAGCATTAGAAAGTGTCTCCACATGCATCTCGAGTGACCACTTGCAATCGGATCTCACTTGCCTGAATAAACGTGTACACATTGTTGTTTTTAGCCAGTCTGACTGGACAGTTCCATTGTGAATGTGTGTGTGTGTGTGTGTGTGTGTGTGTGTGTGTGTGTGTGAGAGAGAGAGAGAGAGAGAGAGAGAGAGAGAGAGAGAGAGAGGCAAGGAGGGGTTGACTGAATCAATGCACCTGCATGCAGCTCTACACTGAAATAAGGTTTTAGCCATTTGAAATAGTAAAATATTTTGGGTTCATTATGAAACTGTGGCAGTACTAATTGGACTGCGACAGAGGACGTCAGTAGAGTAGGTGGTCCTTCAATGTGGCCCAGAACGCATTTATGTTCACACTGCTAATAGATTGTGGCCCAGACCACCTCCGAATGTGGTCAGAGTGATTGGACTTCAAATACTTTCTCAATGCATCTTGGGTGCATTCACACCCGTATCTAGAGCTGTCCACTTGTGATCAGATCACCCGAGACAGATATTAATGCTAGGTCTGAACAGGGCTTTTGATTTACTTCACAGTTGGACCATGCCTCTAAAAGTGTGTTGCAGACTGAAATGCATTTAAACTGTATTTTGTTCATGCAGGGGATGAAGAGAAACTGTTCTACTAATCTTTCTACTACAACAGTTCAACAGTGCCACTCCCACAAAATCTATAGCTTGTGAGGCAAGCAATTTTCTTAATCTAAAGCTATCTGCTGTCAAAAATACATAATCTAAACTGGAATAGTTTTTGTGATTTTAATATAGGAGTACATTAGTTAGTTTAGGTTTCCACTGTACAGCTGTATTGTGTAAAATGAACAGGTGAATCATAGCAGGGCGGAGGAGCTGTAGATCAGTGAGTTACCTGCGAAGATCTTATGGGAACATGCAATGCCAAATCAAGTTGTGACTAGCAGGTCTATAATGTCCAATATTAAAAAAAAAAAAAAACATTATACAGGAACTTGTACAGATAAAGATATTTATCACTTTATTAACTCAAATTGCACCATGTGTCTATAATGTAACTTTGATGCTTGGTGCAGAATGATGCAACACTTAGAAAACACTGCTTTATCAGTGCCTCTCCCGATTCATTGCTAGATACTACTTTTTACAAGTTTCTGCAGTCACAACACTTTCTGTATTTGGACATGTTTTTGCATTTGTCCTGAAATTGAAAAAAAGTTAAATGAATCATCCTTGTAATGTAATGGGCACAATTCAAATATTCTTTTTTTTAGAGTGATAGGATCATTTTAAACTGTAAATTAATTGACTGATATATTGATACAGCTTTTAGAGTTTTGGTGGTGTGTTTGACCAGAATTACTTTTAGAGCAACAATTTTTTCAGATACATACACCTTTTTGTATGATTTTGAATTTGTGGGTCTAAGTAGACATAGCACAATATTTTAATTCTACAAATATAAAAATCACCAATTATCAGAAAAATTAAGGGGAACAGGAGTGGCCTGTAAATTATTATCACTCGGCATACAACACTTAACACAACTGTTTACAAGCAATTGGTTATTCTTTCAACCCCATATTGAGTTGAGACTGAGGTCCTTTGGGTATTGCTGAGGAGAAGGCCATTAGGCTTTTAGTGCTACAGTCTGTGCTTGGTCTCACTGGGATTACCACAGACAACAGAGCAAGTGACAGGCATTAAGTAAACAAAATTACAGCAGCTGAGGAATTATTCTGTAACTTATTGCACAACACAGAAAGCCACACAATCAGTCAGCTCCTGACCTGGTAGATGAGAGTGTAAAGATGCAGTACTGGCAAATGTTTCAGACTGACACAGAAGAGGGTGATGATGCCATTCTACTGTAATAGGTTTGGACTCCAAGCTTCATACATAGTCAGATGATCTAAAGACATGGAAGGGAAAGGCCTTGAGCTAGTCTCAGATCTCAAATCTTGAGTTCATAGTGGACAGTGATTATGCCATAGAAATATAATCTAGTTACACAGTTTTTCATTACAGTTTATGAATGATGTGATCATCAATTATCCCTGGACTGAAAAAGTTCAGCTACAACCAATAAGTTGATGCTGCACATCTAGCAGGTCACCATGGGACGACACAGCATCTGCACTTCTCTGTGTATTTGCTCACCTTTACTAACATACAGGAAACAAACAAATACAGTTCTTCCCTACAACAAACAAGCTGAATAAGTAATTTTCTTCCTCTTTTGGTTTAGGATTCGCTTTTATACCTCAGGTCAGAACTGTGTAGTTCTGCTAATTGTTCTTGACCTAAGCAGAATACAATGCAACTACTATTTGATGTGCATCGGTCACATCTGGACAATTCTCCACTACTTTAGTGAAGTCGGTGCAAATACCAAGCCAGTGTATGGATACTACATACCAATAAAAACATACATGTAGATTTATTTAGGTGAAAGCTCAAATGCTTGTCCTCACATACCCCTGAAGTCCTTTTTTGTTTATGGAAACACTAATTACAAGAGCAGTGCAGACAACCTAATATCAGCGGGATAAGTGTAACTTTGGACAGCTGAGATCAGCATTTCTCATTAACCTTTGCATTTGAAAATGTTCTAGATAAAAGTCTAAAGTATCTATGCAATTACCTTGCCATGTTCTTTTCTAAAAATACACAAATTAAGTCTGCACTTATTTGTAGATGCCCATCAGAGCATTTTTTCCAAACCATGTTTCTGGCAAACAAAGTCCCCCAGAGGAATTAATTGGAGTAAAATGTGGCTGGTAAAAACAACCATTCCAAACAATCAGTTTAAAACATATAATCTGTCATTGCATTACGCTGATGCACACACAGCCTGATATGATGTAAAATGTCTATTCTATTCAAAACTTAAGGCTAGGAATCTGTGGCCTATAGTGGTCCCAAATTGTATCATTGGCAAGACCTACAATTTAAATCCCACATTGGGTGAAGTGCCAGAGATTGAAAAATCTATTCAATCATTACTGATGAAACAAAGAAAAATATTGATGTTTCATGTAATCCAAATTGCTTGCAAACTTTCTATTACCTTGTGAAATGTATCTGCTGAAGCAAGTCAGGCAAGTAAATTCAGTCTTCATTGTCTGCAGGCCAGTGCAAGTGGGGGATCTAATCAGGAGATGCAAAGTGCAGCACTCTAATTGCATCATTAGCTAAACCAATGACTCAGTCACAGTGACTTCAGCCTCACCCTCCCCCTACCCCTCCCTCTTCTGCCCCATCCAGAAATAGGGAGTCAAGCCTCAAGCTCTTTACTGTACAGCTGCTCAAGCAGAATAATTCTAACATGTTATGTGCAACAGCGCAAAATGTTAACGTTCCAGAAATATCCAACTGAAAAACATAGCATTAATGAGACTATGCTATACAACTGTCATCGAGACACTGTGTGAGCACTGATGTTCATCTTCCAGGGAATGGCAAAGATTAGTTCTGAATGTTGAAACACACAAATAAAACATATTGGCTCAGGCACACAATATAGTGATGTTGCCTCAACATGACAGACATGGCCCCATCTAAAATGTTGAAGACTGTCATAGGGCAAACAACTAGCCTGAACCTTATCATGGTGCACCCAGAGGTAATAGCCATGCACAGGTGCACACTCATGATTGTGATGATTTGGATCTTGATGTGATGTGATTTTAACAGTAAACAATGCCCTGTTGATGCACTGCAATGGGAACATAGCCTCGCAGTCTTTTTTTGGCTCACTTTTGTTTGGTTGTACAATGGTGGATGAAAAATCCACTTGAGTTGCCCTCCTACAGAATCTGGATGACCCCTGACTTGCTGTGGTACCGCATGCTTTGCTAAGAATGACTAAGAGGCGGTTTCCCAGCAATTGAGAAAAATGCAGCCTGCCAGAAAAGAACTTGCACTTTATTTCCTGTCTATGCAAAGTGAAAGAGGTGACACTAACACCTCCAGTTCTTCCTGTTTTATGTACTCAAATGAAAATGATGAGCATAATCTTGACAGGCCTCGTGGTGTCAATGAGGACAGCACTATGGTGAAGCCAATTCATGTTGCAAAATGCTGCTGCAGGCAGACAGGCTCCACACAGGTAGCTTCTTAAATTAATAAGACATAAAGTGCATGTCTTTATAAAAATAAGTCATTCTAAAGACAGCCATTATCGATATCGTGACCTTAACCTCGATATTAAGATATTCCCTCTTGTCATGTTTGTTTGCTAAAAAGATTTTTATGTTATTATATTGTCAGTTGCACGTGTTTAACAGCGCTTTTTCTTGCTGTCACGGAGGAGATGTCTTGGGCTGATGGAGGAATTAACCTGGCCTCTGCCGCACTGTATTAGCTACAGTCAGTGTATGCAGCACAATCTGACTGCGGCTGCTGCTGAGGATGGGGAGCTTCTGGGACTGACGTCTCCATGTCGGGTCACATCTGCAGAACGATCTCTCAGTGATAAGATACGGCTTTAGCCTGATTTCACTGTGTTTCTTGTGTGCTCAGTCTGAGAGCATCTTTGAATTGTGAAAATGGTAGTGAGCGTTATCTCGGGCTAATGTTATAACTCTGCCCGGTCAATTTGAGACGCTGATGCCAATCCATTATTCCATGAATTGCAGCGAACTTGAGGCTCACCACTCAGCACACTTAGCAGGCTAATCACGGCTTAACAAAAATGATTGCTAGGTTCAAACACCCACTCTTAAAATGATGCAACTAACACTTGTCCTTGTTGCTGTCGTGTTAGTAACAGACGGTAACGTTGTAATGTCAATTTCGATATCGTTAGTAGCTAGTTACCGTGATTAACGTTGCGTAAACTGCTTTGCCAACATTAAACAGCGAACATGAGAATATCTAAACGCTATTGAACCAATTTCGGAGGAACACTGTCGTTGATAAAAGTGTAAATAGCCCACACAACACTTCCAGTCTCTTACCTTTGTCGAAATCCGTCTCTTCCTTTTTGACTGTGAAGACCCTCTGGATTTTGTTGCTCTGACACAACTACCACGCGCTGCATGATAACCCCGCCCTCCTGGCTGCGGGCGAGCCGCTATTGGTCAGTTGGAATACAACTGCAGCCAGGTCGAGGCTTCTCATTGGCCAGCTCACCTGCCAATCTATTCGGATTCTGCTTCCCGCGTTCTAAGTAGCGCTCACAATACATTACATTATGCAGCCTATATTTAGGCGTCAACAACCACTGCAGGCATGTGAAAACAAGTCACAGTGACCTCCAGTATAAATATACAGTAGAGAAAGACAAACAGAGATTCGTCACATTAATGTTTTAATGACAAGTGAAACAATAAAGGCAATCAGAATAATGAGTAAGCATGTGGGAGAACTACAATGAAACAAAATCTATTTAATCTCATTTGGAAGTCCTGTGCAGTGACTATCTAGTTGTATTTCAGTGTTAAATAACACATGGTGCCTTTCATTGCTAACTAAGAAAGACTAGGGGAGGACACAGAAACATCTTTATGTCCCCTTGGGAGAGCGATTTGTCACTAGCAACTTTGACTACTTGTGCCAGCTACATTGGAGAAGCCGTTTCAGTAATGCCAGGCTTGTATGACGGGCAGTGCTGCTTGCAGGATGTAACTGAACACAGCTACATTCAGTCTTTAATAACAAGAGGAGCCTTGACTTGAGCTGCAACCTCAGCCCCCATAAGTTCCTCTACAATTGTCAGGGCAAACTCGAAACTGGTTCCTGGCCCACGGCTGGTGATGTAATGTCCATCCTTCTGTACTCGAGCCTCTGAATATTTATAGTGATCTAAAAAAAAAAAAAACACACAAAGAGCAATACCGTAAGGATAATCACAACATGAGAGCTACAAGCCTCAAGCTGAAAGCCAAACATGTTAGACACCACAGGGTACTATAAGCACTACCACATAGATAATCTATCACTATTTCAGCTGACCCAGTTCTAGTATGTTCTGTCAAATTCCTGCATCCGCTTTCACCTCTGAGTGGTGCGCTCTCCTCTACTGCATAGTGGCATGATTTTCTATAGGAGAGATAGAGCTAGTACAGCACCATCTACTGCCCTTTACAAAAAATTACAATTCCTTCTGTTTTGAATTAAAGTTAAAGCCACTAGCACTACATTTCAACATATCTTCCTGTTACCTCCAGTCATCATCTTCTCCTTCATGGCTGGATGTGTAGTGACTGTGCTGCCGTAGCCGATGCCATGTGCCAGAAGAGCAGTAGGACCTGCAGGAGAGCAAAGCTGCGTAAGGTTCGTTTAACAGCTTCCCCTTATAAAGTGACACTTCAGAACATGTTCTGTTGCTTGTTAGTCCAAGTTTTCATCTTTATGCAGTTTAAACAAAGGTTGCAGGAGTCAAAGGTAAAATACTGATGAATTTGACTTTAGGGACTGCAATTAGTATTGTACATGAATTATATCAATACAGAATATTTGATGACAACACTATGTCCTAAAGGTGTCCTCAACTATACCATTGTTTCTAAAAATATACACAGGCAGTATACAGTTTCAGCCTCTCTCCTCTGCACCACACTGGAAAGAGAGAAAAAAGGAGAGGCTCAAGGCATTGACTGCTGCTGCATTAACTTTGGCAGCATCCTAGCACTGCAGTGAGCTCCTCCAAAAACTGTTAATAAATAGAAAGGTATTGATTATGCTCCTTGGCTGTCTTCCCATACAGTCTAAAGATTACACTTTCCCCTGGCAGAACAGCAGTCTGCCAGTTAAAGCCAAGCTACTCTTGTTACAGCAAGTCCCCACCCAAAGGACGCCAGTCTGGCAGAGAGAGAGAGAGAACCAGAGCCAGACAGCAGGGCACACATGGAGAGAAGGATGATGATGATACCCATCTTTCTACCATCTGATCAATCTTGAAAATGATGTATTTGTATTTTGTGTACATGACCTTACATGCATGTAACAAATATTACCACAAAAAGAGAACTACACAATGGCTAACTTAACCTGCAACTTTTACACTTATTATTAATGTGGTTTTCAATCAAGCCCTTTTTGAACAGACCTTTTTCATATGTCATGATAACAATTTTCATGTTACGGAAGAATAATAAGTCTTGCCACTGGCCCTCTTGCTGGCAGGTTCATTAAACTGTATATTCCTGTGAGGATTTCAGTAATTTTCTAGGACACCCTTCAATCCACTTTGCCGCATTGGTCCCATGTCCTATTCAAAATGTCCTTCCAATGTCCTTTCTCTGCATACAGAGGCTGTCAAATAAAATGTCAGTGCTCATGGGTTCACTCAGGGACAGTTATTAATCAAACCCTCACCCTTTCATCTCGAATGCCAAAAGCGGGTCACAAATGGCCATAAATTAATGAAGCACATTGTTTGTTAACGGTGTGTATTTTTCAATATGTGGTTAAGGTGTGTGGTTTTAAGGGCACATCCAGTTACTAAAATACCAGAAAATCCTCCAGATTCAGTGCCATGTGCATTGAACCACTGCACCTTTTTTCTGTCCAAGATCTTTAATTCCAGTTGCGAGGAAATCCAAATCCCATTTACTGGCACAACAGTCGCTTGATATGTTCAAAACCAAAATATCACACCTTTAGCGTTGTTTCTAGGTAAAAATGTTTACGGGTCACACGGTAGTTTATATCACTAATTTGTCAAACTGGTTTGATTTATATGGAAAACATGAGCAGTATTTATTGCTCAATTACTTATGACAATGCTATTTTACTCAGAAAGCACCAGAATTAACGGCATTGTGTAGGTTGTGTAATTCACATGTACTTGAATAAAAGCACAACATGGTGGTCAAAAATGAGGTCATGTCATGTTTAAACTTTAACCCATAGAAAGGCATCACTATCAGATGCTGCTCCTGTAGAATTATGACTTTGGTTTGTTTTCTCAAACTGTACCTGCACAGATGGCTGCAATCAGGCCTTTTCTGCCATCTTGATCTTTCAGCACCTCTTTCACAGCAGGAGACTGCAAGAGAGCACAAAAACCAGATGCACCGTGAGCCATCTGCAGGCCATGTGACTGCACAGTGTGCCGACTAGGCTATAATCATGGAAACAACCTGGCAATCACTGTTTCCAACCACAGATGTATTAAACACAAACACTAACAATAATATCTAAACTAAACATGGTCTTCGCCAGATCTCATCTATCAGATGAGTTGGACTAAAATATTTCATCTTAGAATATTAAATAAGTTTTACTTATAAAAGAGTCCTTTATGTCATCCATGTAGTACAGAGGGATATGAAAATAATAGAGAATATTTCATAAGTGGACATTTTCGTGTACTCTCAATTCCAACACCCAAAATGTTTGTTTTTTTTGTTATTTTTTTAAAAGGATGCAAATATAATTAATGATGCTAAAAAAACATACATACACAGCACATAAAATATCATCTCTACTTGGTTCATTCTTCTCCACATTCATCCAATTTCTACACTCACTCATCTTCGCAGAGGGGCCAGAGCCAGTCCTATATTAATGAACATTTAACATGTGTTTATTTTTTTATTCAACTAAGAGTATAAAACAAAAAATATTAATTTACCATTATATGATAAAAATCCTCATATTTGAGAAACTAGAAACATATTCAATCCACTAACAATTATTTTCATTATCGATTAATCTGCTGATTATTGTTTCGATTACACTGGGTTACTTTTCTACCTCTGAAAGGGGGCACTGTGACAGAAAAAGTTTGGGCTACCATGGGGCTAGACCATGTGACTGGAACCCTAGAAGATCAAAACATGGAGAGACTGATCCATTTAGATGCAGTTTGTCTGAGTATTTCTCACCTCTGCCAGGTTCTGGGCCCCTGGCATTCCTCCTGGCAGAAGCACCACATCATAAGGACCCTGGGAAACAGACCATAATAGATGGAGACCGACAAGGTTTAACATTGCATAACACCAGACATCGTCTATTTGGCTGATGGAGCTTATCAAACTAAACATACACATACAATACAAAAAACAAATACTAATAAATAATAATAATAATAATAAATAATACGTCATGTGGCTCTGAAATCTTAAGTCTGGCTTTAATGACAATGTTAGAAGGTACAGTTATGTGCAAAACATTGGGAACTCCTGGGAAAATTACATTTTGTTGATTTTTGCAGTGAGAATTGGTAAATACAACCGCAGCAACAAACAGAGTTTAAAAATTTGCCTTCCTTTAAATGCTAATGCCATGTTACTTTTTATTACATGGACTTAGAAACCAGCAAAAAAAACAAACGAAAAAAAACCCAGTAATTGTGACATGTGCACAAGTTTGGCCACCCTGCTAAGTCAGTACTTAGTACTCCCCCTCTTTGGCAGATATCACAGCTTGCAAATGCTTGTTGTAGCCAGCTAAGAGTCTTTCTATTCTTGATTTATGAATTTTCACCCACGCTTCCTGCAGAGCTGAGATATTTTTAGCTTGTCTTGCACTAACAGCATGTTTAAGATCTACCCACAGATTTTCAGTGATTTTCAGGTCAGGCGACTCTGAGGGCCACTCCTGAGCTTGTGTTTCTTGAAGCAGTTCATGGTGGATTTTGAGGTCTGCTTTAGATCATTGTCCTGTTGTAGAAACCAGCCTCTTTTCAGCTTCAGTGTCTTGACTGACTGCAGGACATTTGGATTCAGAATTTGCTGATATTTAGTAGAATTCATTTCTAAACCTGTCTGTGCAATGTTTCCTGTCCTACTAGCTGCCACACAACCTCAAAGCTGAGTACTTCCACCCCACCCCACCCCATATTATACATACGTGATATATATTTATGCACATGCAACTTTGACTATTGATTTTTATCTATTTTTTTAAATCCATTAAATAAAAAGTAACATTTGAAGACAAACCTAAACAAAATATTTATTTTGCCCTATCTTTTGCATAAAACTGTAGCTACTGAGCCTAACCTGTTTGCTGGCATCCTCCAGGCTGGCATCAGGACAGATGACGACGTTTCTGCTGCACTGGACTGGCTCTTTGCCCGTCAGTCCTGCAACCGTCACTGCAATCTACAGGTTTGGGTGGGTAGTGAAGAAAAAAAAAAAGCACAGAATTAGCATAATTGCAAGACATTGCACCCTGTCTGCATATGGCTGACGGAGACTTTTATTTTGATAGATATCAAATGGCGGAGAGTTGCAATGGCGTTGGACTTTGACATTTAACTTGGCCCCTGTCTGCATTCACTTTAAAGGTTGTGAGTGCGTCAACAGTATCCCAAGCAGGTTATTAAATTCTAGCAAAAGATAAAAACTGTAAATAGTTAAATAGTAACTATTCCTCCTGTTAGTTCAACAGTTAGCAAGCTGATTCATGTTAACGCTACCCCCTTTACAAATGACGCTTATCGTTTCCACAGTGAAAGCTGTTGACACCAATAATACATTACAATGTGCATGACAGCGTTTTGGCCGGACTGAAGGGCTGGCTAAATTTAACCAAAGCCAGCTGGCTAAGTTGTGTTGTTCTGTGCTACCATTAGCTAGCTGACTGCTAACACACACAGCATTGCCATATAAAGTCTGCAGACGAGTTACAAACCCCAGCTCTGCGCATGATGTCCACAGGAATAACAGTTTCCATCTCCTCTGCACCTTTAGACAGGATTACTAATGCCCTCTTTCCTGCCATGGTTAGCTTGCAGTTCTGTTTCTAGCAGGTGCAAAGACGCTAACTCCAGTGTGCAACTCCCAGCAGGAACTAGAATACTCTGCAATGAGATTTTGACAGAAGCAGGGTTGCCAGGTTGGCCCCTACATCCCCCTTTCAAAGAGAGTTGTCCATTCTACTCTACCCATGTACACCCATAGCAACACACCTCAAGTACGATCTCTTATTGAAAGTGTCAAAACTAAAATGCACAGAGAACACAACAAACACAAAGAAACTACACTTACACTAACTGAGTACAAAGAGCAGATGCAATACATCTGCCCTCTGGATAGAAATAATACTGGAGGCTAAATTTCAAATTGGTAAATTAACTGCCTGGTTGCTGTACTGTGACAGCAATATCATTATCCAATACCATGAATTTGTTGATTTTGTTTTAAATTGTGCATTAGCTCATAATAAGAAGTATGTGGCGTGTTTACAAATACCTTTGCTTATTCAAAATGATCATTTTCAATTCATTTGTAGACAAATGTATGGCCACGACTTTTAACCTTTATGGCTTGCGACCCCTTAAGACAAAGCTATGTCTATTACAGCCTCTTGTCACAGTCTATGAGCTATGAACGAAGACATTTTCCCTCTCTGATTAATTTACTGGAATAAACCTTAGTGGCTTACATTGTTAAAATTATTTAATAATTCACAAGAAAAAAAAGGAAAAGATTAGAGGAAATTCTGACTTTGTGTTGCAGAGATATATTTGTCCTGCTTTCATATCCTGTTAATCATCTTGTCATACCTGTGATTTATCTCAGGTTGGAAACCATATTTACTCAAAGTCACAAATACGACACCCAGACTGACAAACAACACCTGCAAATTCAAAAAAGTAAATGTGTTAAGGGGATGTTTCCATGACAGTGTGCATTAGCTACTTTTCCACTAAGCACTATTTACAATGTTCATCTTTAGGCCCTAAGCAAGGAACATCAGTGGTACAGTAAATGCTGTATCTCATGCAGTCAAATCAATGTATGTGCACACTGAAAAAAAGAAACCTGCGTGCAGTATACCAACTAGCTTGCAGTCTAAAAAAAGAACTGCTTCTGGTGCTATTAAACACATACTAATATGGCAATAAAATGACCATTACTGTGTGGTATACTCCAGAAATGATTTTACAGTCAGTGATAGTTCAGCTGTTAGCAGTGCATTCTTTATTCCAGTAGGTGGTAGCATTAACCCAAGATTCAGCAAAGGATGTCAAAGGGAGCTAGAAAAAGAAGTCTACATTGAACACAAACGTTAACTGAATCCAAAGGTTAAATGTAACTTTGACATTCTGTAAACAATATGATTTTTTTTTTTTTTTTTTTTTTACAAATCCATGAACCCTGTTACTTAATCACAGTCTTATCATCGGAATGATTCAAGGTTAATTCAGACATGTAATGAATGAGGTTTTTAAAAACAACACCAGGCAGCAGGTCACTGAGGTCACCGAGTTCTGCAGCAAACTTCTGCAGCAAACTCTTAAGACAGTTAGGGAATCATATCCCAGTGTAAATCCGAGACTTAATGTGTGGGGCTTTAGTGTGCAGGCACCTATCCTAGTTAATGTGCCTCTGTGCATTCTGCTGCTGAGATTCACTTTCATATTTGTGCGTCAAACTAGAGCCCAGTGAAACGGCAGATTAGACAAAAGCGTAGGGGGTGCTGGCAGCAGGTTGTTTATTGCGTGCCTGTGAGTGAATCCAAGAGGCAGCGGTGATTACCAACATATGCAGCTGGGGATCAACTGAACCAGACCCGCGGTGGCACTCAGGCTAATTTCCATACATTAATTCACTTATATTAATTTACTAATTTCTTTCACTATGTAATCATAAAGTGCATGATCACACTGAGGACATGTTTCAAAGTGACTTGTGACACAAATGTAAGGAAGACAATTACTGTCTGAGACACTGAACACAAAAGGTCTAACCAACAACTGACAAATAGAATTATCTAACGGTTTGCAGGGGGTTTCATCTTATCGCGAGCAAGTTTGAAGTCTTTACAGTAAGATTTTTATACTTTTCAAAATGAATGAAAACAGTTTCCGAAAAACAATAAAACACATTCAAGGAGATGGTGGTTATTTCTGTATTTTTTTTTCTTTTTTTTGTCAACAAATCCATAAAAATGCTCAATAAATTCATCTTACTGAGAAGTCGTGCCTGGCTAGCCAAAGCCTTTTTATTGATTCCCATTTGTTGTAGACCTCCACTGTTTTAAACATACATTATGAGCCTCACTTGGACAGGGCGAAATGTTCCTTCCTTATGACGAACGTGGGCACTGTAGTTTATTTTTAAGGTAGTCCCATACACACTGTCCTTCTGCCATAAATGCGCACTAGTGCATATTAATCCACAGCTGAAAATAGTCCCCAACAAATACACCATTTACTTCTGTTTAAGTAAAATTTGCTAAAATCTATAGTGCATCACTGCTTTAGGAAATTTCTTTAAAAAAAACAACAAAAAAAACCCTATATATTTGTGATCCGTTTTATATCTTCAGTACAGGAAACAACAGGCTCCGGGCTGAGAACCACCGACAGGGTAGGGAGGTTGGAAAGTATTGAGAAACTAACAAACACATTTGGTCGATCTTTTTATGGGATTTGCTGACAATAGAAAAAACATCTAGAATAATGCCAAACTTATCTTTTTAAAAGTCTAAAACACTACAGCATTAGCTTTATGTGTAGATTTCAGGAAATTTGAAAGAAATTGCAAACTGGTATTACCCCTAAATGTGGCATGGCAACAAATGATCATTATGTGTGTGTATAAGTGTATGTTCTACTACTTGGTGAATGTGAGATTGGCCTGTGGAGTAAAAGGGTGCTCATCAGTGGATTCCTTTGCGTATTATTATTTCTCTTGTGGTCCCTCTTGCCTGCATCACCAGGCCTTGCTCTGCTTTATCTGGCCGTTCACAGAGGTCTGCTCGAAAACCTGAAGGGTTTCTGGAATCAAACCTCCGGGGAGATGAGAATACAGAAACATTTTTTTTTTTTTTTTATAAGACGGGGACAGAGGAAAAAGAAAATCCTCAAACTGAAATGAGGGAATTCCACAAATTACCGTTTGTCACAAAGTAATCCTGTTACTATTGCAAAGAATATGAAACGGTGTAAACATGGAAATAAACTGCCAATATGGATGTAGCTTACAAGCAGAGGCTCTGTTCAGTTGAGATATACAGCTGCAAACCCTGTTTCAGATCCCCAGTAAGGAAGAGTGCCACAATATTCAAAGTGGTTACAGAAAATTTGCTTCTACAGGGAGAGATTAAAATTTTCAGATGTTTTTTTCTTTCTATTTATTCTTTGCATTTCTACATTCCAACTCATTTTGTCCAACCCTTGTGCTCACCGGTTACTCTTCCCAGTCATCTAATGGCAGCGTTCAGGGCTTGCATTGCTGAAGTCAGAGAACTGATGAATATTTAGGAGCATTTTATCTTCCCATCTGTGCACAGGCTTTATCTTGTGTCTGCTTCACACATTGTAAGCCACTGAGTGCATGGGATGAGTGACAAGCATATAATCTTGATTGCATCTTGATGCTATTACCTTATGCTGCCAAGCGCTCAGGTGACAGCTGGGGGACAGTGAGGAGGTCTGGGGAGAAAAGGTGACATTGAATTTTATGCACCTGTGTCGGCAGCGAGCAGCCAGCAGCCACGCACAGACACAAGATGGCGCCAGCTGAGTGAGTTCAACTTTGTGCAGGGTAGTTCAAAAGCAAGGCCAACTGTCTGAGGACATTTTCAACAGCAATCTCTGCAAATAATGAAAAGAAAATAACACAAAAGTTGACTTTGTAAAGGCTGCAGCAAAAAGGCAATCAGATGTCTTTTCTGGAATCACAAGTTTTCAGATGTATAGCATGTATTGCTAACCAAACAGATAAACTGAACAAAGATACGTTTGGATGTATGTCCCAGCATTCATTAAACAATTTGTTTTAAATGCTTTATCCAAAATGAGATTCCTACAAATCCAACGCATGACAAATTGTTTTCAACCACAGAGGCAGTATTACAAATTAAGGCAGCACATTAATGTGTTGTTTAGATTATTGAGTATGTGTAACAACATGAACCAGAATTGCCTCACAGTCATTTCTGGTTGCAATAATCTGCCTATCCTCAAATTATGCCCCTACCCATATTATTTTACGGGGAGGGAGGGGGGGGGGCAAAAGTGACTCTCCTTTTTCTTTATTCTCCCTCTCTGTCTCAGTGAGTATCAGTTTGTTTTGCTCTCAGCTTGCGTCTATTAGATGCCTTAATGCTGTACAGCGTGGCCTATCTTCAAACAGGAATGCTGATGATACTGGCCCTGCAGCGGTGCTCCCCTCCCCACCCACCCCCCCACCCCCCTCATACAGCCCCAGCCCCGGCCTGCTCCTCTACACAGAGGGCAATAAAGACACAAGGAGGATTAGTGTTGTGTGCCTAACAAAGTGGTTGCCAGAGAGTGAGAGGGCCATGCCCATGGGCTCAACAGCAACCCTGCTCAGCTCCGCTCGGCTCTGTCGAGGTCCCCCCCTGCTTGGGCTTCCCTAAGGTCCGCTCTCTCTCAGGGAGCTCTGTGGATGTGTGATAGACTCTGAGTGGGTGAATTCATGTTGATGCTAAAGAGGCAGAGGACGCAGACAGATAATCCATGGCTTAAGCAGTGCTGTAGTAACTTTCCCCCCTTAAACAAGGGAACATATGTGCAAACAGTTAAATTTAATTCAACCACATACTCGCGCTGTGCATATTTTTCACTAAAGACTTTCCCACAGTGAACTCAGACAAAATTTCCAACTCTTGACTAGTGGGCGCTTGAAAATTGCCATCAATAAACCCATGATCATGTAGTTTAGCCTACACAGCAACCTGATGGTCCACAACAAGGGTTGTGCAGTGTCTTTCTGTGTTGATTTATCCCACTCACTGTCCAGTGGGAAAACATGGTTTGATACAGAGCGCAGGCAGGCTAAAGGCTGTACACTATGTTTATGGATATCTCTCTCACTGTAACCGGTGCGCT